CAAAAGCCGTGTGGCACGGGGCAAAGGTAAAGAGGGGGAAGCCATGAGAGGCAGCCAGAACAGAGGCCGGCGAAATAAATCCTTGAGCATATTAAAAGCCCGAAAGCCACAAAATGAGTTTGTTTGGTCAAAGAAAGAGCGAACAAAAAAAGAGGGGGAAAACTGAGGGGAACGGGAACCCATTCAGCCGCTTCTGCCGCTCTTTTTCTCTGGCGTTGCTCCATTCTTTGTGGACTCTGTGGACGACTCAAACAAATCAAAGCCTTGGTGGATGGTCCTGGGCTTAAGACAACATTAAATATGACAGCTCCAAAAAGCAGAAGCTGGATTATGGAAAAAGGATGCAAAACCATCCATGGAATGTTTGGTATATGCAGGGCATGGCAGGCGGCAGAACGGACATTGATTCCCTTCGCTTGGATCGCACTTAATCAAGGCATTCCGATCAAACCCAGGGCCACAGAAGACCACAGAAGACCACAGAAGAACGGACTCCCCGCAGTAAACAATTTAGTGTAATTTTCCTATCAAATACCCGAAAGCAAGTCCTTTCATTGAAAGCATTCTATTCCAATTCCTGATGAATTCCTATTCCCATTTGGTTTATGCATATTTGCAGGGCCGATAGCCCCAAATACGGGCCTGATGAGCCGGCAAACAATCTGATTATCCCATGAGCTGGCCATGGCCAGAGTACTCGTCCTATGTGGATGTAAACGTATCCTGAGCCAGGCTGAGGGGATTTCTTATGGTTAGCTGTTCTGCGGCTGAGTCCTGTCGAGGCGAGTCCTTGTCGAGTGTCATGGCCATGTTTGTCCTTGCCGGCTGCGACAATATAAATTGTAATTAATAAATCAAAACAGCAGCAGGCAGCCGGCAACAGAAACAGATACTCGCACAAATATGCAACTTTATGGGGCAGCAATCAAAGTCAGTGAGATGGGATTGGGGCAGGGGCAGGGGCAGGGGCAGAATGGGAATATAGACAGAGCTCATGGCTCCATTAGATCTGGCCAAAAGTTTGCATTTGCTTTGGCCGGAAAACTTTCTGGCCCAATAGAAATTATGGCACAACTTTTGGTTTATTTTTCAATTGTCCTCTTTCTCTCTCTCTCTCTTTGTTTTTCTTTTAGCCGCAACTAAATGAAATTGTTTTAAAATTTGGCTAAAGCCCTTGTGCCAACACAACGAAACGCACACATGGGAGATCGACACACAGGCCGACACTCTTCCGACTCCTGTCTCGTGTCTCGTGTCCCCTGCGCAAGGGGAAAGTTTCGCCTGCTCTAATTAACGCCCTCAAAGTTTCGCCACTGCCCCACTGGTACGTGGGCGTGGCACAAATCAAACGGAAATTAAAAGCAAACTCGGAAAACCGCTTGACACACCCCGCAATCTACAATCTAGAATCCACCAGAATACACCCCAACAACACCCATTCGCATTCGCATTCCCATCCCCATCCCCATTCCCATTCCCATGGAAAAAGCGCATCCCAGGGATGGCTGAGGCAAGGGCTAAGCTGTCTGAGCATAACGCATCATTACGTTGACAAAAATGGGCAAACCCGGCAAATGGCAGCGTACAAATACTAGATCCACAGGGGTGTGGGTGCTATAAGAATTTGAATTTTCATGCAGCCAAAGAAAAGCGAAAGGAAGCAACAGCAGCAGAAGCAGCAGCAGTGAGAGTAACGAGAGGAGGAAAAGCACAGAAAATTGCTAAATGCCGGCATAAAAATGCGCTGCACACTGCTGCTTCGAAGGATGCGGAGAGGGAGGGCATGAGAGCTGGTCATGAGCCAAAGCCGGAGCCAGACAACAAGCGTCTATGGCAACATAAACATTTGCCTTGCCAGGATCTAGCATGCCCCCGGAGCCCGGGGCACACACACACTCACACAGGGCACAGGGCACAGGGCACTGGGAAGCGATGCCAGGGAGCGTTCGCTGCTCGACTTGGCCTGGTCTCTGCCACTGGCACTGTCACTGACGAGAACCATTTAGGACTCAGACTGCCAAATCTTTTGGCCCCTGTTCCCATGGCTCTCTGGAGCTCTGCTCAATAAGGTTCAGATAAAGTACAGGTGATTATAGCTCGCTGAGAAGGGTCCCCAAGAAAACCCAAGAAACTGGTGGAATACTGAGCGTCTTTTTGGAAGAAGGAATCTGATGCAGTTTGGAATCACTACTCTTTTCTTCCAACACTTTAAGATATCCAGTTCTATGCTTTATCCATATAAAAATCCCTCAAGGAAGGCCTGATTGTTTTTTCAGTTTCCCACCTGCCCTTTTGTTCATTTATTCCAAGCCACTTTTCTTTTCCAACACTCTCAAGGGTTGCTTTCATTTCCTCTACAACACCTTGCTTCTCGCAGCTTCTTCCTCGCGTTTCTCTGCCGTTATCCAGCACTGATTTTCCCGTTTGTTAGATCATTTGTAAGTCGTTGCTCGGCAATCCGAATTCTCCGTGTTCGTGTCTTTTGTCCTTGCTATATTTTTTGTGTGCCTTCCTCATTTCTATTTTTTTTTTTTTTCATTTATTTTTTTGTATTTTTGCAGCTTGTTTTGCTTACGACAAGCGACGACGTTGACGATGACGACCATTTTGTTGGTTCCCTGTGAGTTTTTACCACTTGTCTTTCTGCCTGCCACTCTTCTGCTTCCACTATCTGGCTGGCCCTTGTTCAGTAACCATCCCCATCCCCATCCCCTACCCGTTCCGTTCGGTTTTGTCCAGGCCAAGCCAGGCCTGGCCCAATCTTGTGTAGTTAATGTGGCGTTCTAAAACGCAGTAGCTCCCCCATCTCTTCTTCTAGCTATAATATATGTATACACTCAACCACATACACACACACACACACACACACCCACGCAGACACACAGAGAGAGGCAGGCGGGCAGAAAGCGAACATCGCTTATTTGTATAGCATACTTTTTTGCGTAGTTTGTCGTTGTTTTCGCATTTGTTTGCCAAAAAAGTGGCTATGTGTGGGTGTCTCTGAGTGTGTGTTAGTAACTTCATTTATTCGTTGTCTGTGCTTGGAAGGGGTGGAGGAGGAGGAGGAGGAGGAGTAGGAGGAGTAGGTGGCGGATTGTGCTCCAACAAGTTTCCGCCCAGCTCCAGGAGCTAATGTAAATGTTTGTCTTCCGCTCTGCTCAAGTGGTAGTTTATTGGGGTAGGGGAGTTCCAAGGAATTGCGGCAGACATTCGACTATACTTTCTCTCTCCATTTGATATCCAGGTTCAGAGGATTACGTACCATAACGTCGATCGATCTTCCAGGGTATTCAATGTGTTTCTCCCTTTCTACGTTCCTACCTTCTTTAGGAAGATTTCTTCTTTAAGTTTCCTGCTTTAGAGCAGCTCGGCAAAGGCTAAGGGGGTGGGGTGTGGTGAAGGTAGCAACAGCAACAAAAAAGTACCTCAACCACATAGCACGCGCATATATTTCACCGAGCTGCCTCGTTCTTGTGGCTGCTTTTGACAGTTTTGTGTACTGTCAATTTGAGGCAGAAGTGCTGTATGTGTGTGTGGGTGTGAGAGTCTGGGGGAAACCCTGCTTATATTGCTGCCACCCCTTGACCCGTTACCACACCCCTCCTGGCTGGCTGGCAATATTGTTGTATGTGGTATCGCTGTCTCCGTGTGTTTGGGTATGTGTTTGTGTGTGTTGGCTTTAAAAACATCTTCAATTTTTCTTGCCTGCACATCGAAGGTTTTTTCTTTCCCTTTCCTTACTTTTCTGTTGGTTTTTTTTTGTCGCCTGCACTTCAGGATTGTGTGTGTGGGGGGGTGCTTTGGGCCACGCCAGAAACTTGTATTTGACAGACCCTTGTCTTCATATGTGCCACAACTATCGGCGTTGTTCGGTTGTTCGGTTGTTCGGTTGTCCTGCCACAGCTCCTCCTACTCCTACTCCTACTCCTCCCTCTCCTTGCTCCTGCTCGTTATTACGTTCAGTTCTTCGTTGTGTAAAAAATATACTACACACATACATATACACATGGTATGGCGTACATATAAGTATGTGTCTACGTTTATATCATTATATGCGGCATATATGGCGCTTTCGCTTCGCTGGAGCTCCCTCTCCCCCACTGCACCCTGCATAAATTGTCGCTGCGGGTTAGATGTGAAGAGCATAAAGATGCTTCAGGGCACCCGCCAGCCAGCCACCCCCCGGTGTCATCACATTTGCACTGCATGATTGATCGTTTACAAATAAGCGAAAGAAACCTCCTCCCCCTCCCCCCTCCCCGCTCTCCATCCCCCTCGACTAAGCAGCTCAAAAGAAGGAGCAAAAAAGGGCCCCCAACTCTGAGACCCTGACAGGCGATGGCAGTGCAAATGATAGCTGGCTAATTTGGCGATACCCAAAGTATATATATGTACATACGTATATGGAGTGTATGGGATATAAGTTCGGGGTGACTTCTGGCGATGAAGGGGAAGGAAAGAACGAAAGCCGTGCAATTAAGCGATAGAGACTGATCTCTCTTGACGATTTTCCTATGTGAGCAAAACAATATTCCTAGTGTAAATAGGATATTACTTTCTTAATTCTTAATAAATTTCTAATAAAGGTAGAGAAATCTCTGGAGTATGCTTCTCAAAAAGATATTTAGACAGAGAGCGAGGGAGAGAGCTAATTAGTACCGAAATAGTACTCTTTTGTGAAATCTGTCTAGGAATATCATTTGCCTTTGACTTCTCAATCAATTGCTTAGGTATACAGTTATTAGTAAAATTAGTTACATTTTTAAATTTTCACTTGAAATCAAGGAGGAACCTTTCCTTAAATCCTTCCACATACGAGGCCCTTGCTGATCCACCTTCATGTGAGTACCGCTACGAAAGTGTGTCTGGAGATGTATTTATTGCAGTAGCTGGATGGTTTCTTCCACGGAAACAGGATCATGTCATTGCCATCGTCAAGTCCACCCAGTCCACGTACAATTCCATTGATTGGCACAGAGTCCGCGGAGTACCGTGAGAATATGGCCGATTTGAACCGTGCCCTGCTGGAGTTCGTGAAAGAGAGCCTGGACAAGAGTCCCCACTGCGAGCTGACACCGGTATTCCGTAAATATGACGAGCACCTAATAGCTGTGATTGCAGCTGCAGCTGGCGCCGGGGGAGATGCCAAGCGCTTCCCACTCACCCCGGGATCCACTCGCTTCTCCTTTGAAAGCACAGAAGACCAGGATAAAGTGGTCCACGACCAGCCACCGAAGTCTGCCGACGAGGAGGCTGTATACTCGAAACGCTGCCAGGTGTTTGTCATGAAGGACGCAGAGTACGCCGATCGGGGCGTGGGCATCTTGCACTTGAAGCCAGTGAAGGACTACGCGAAGGCGCAGCTAATTGTTCGGGCCGAAAGCAATATTGGCCAGGTTCTGATCAATCTTATAGTCGGCCAGGGCCACAGCCTGCCCTGCCAGCGTATGAGCTCAAAAACTCTAATGATCACGGGCCTGCCCATGCCGGAGGACAGCAACGTGGTTCCGATTCTACTGCTCGTTAATTCCGCCGAGGAGGCCGATGAGTTAATGGTGAAAATCGAGGATTACACCAAGTGAATTACCGAATTCTCATTAAATCGTGCATTTTATTTCATAATGGATTGTTTAAATCATTTACAAAAGCCATAAGAATGGACTCCCTCCATTTTCCAATCTGCTTCTCAGAAATCGACCTATTTGTATCTATATAAAATGATGTTCTGGGCACCTTCTAGCGTATCCGTTGAGCTTCAGAATCAATCTCCCAGAGGCGGGGAAAAATGTTGTAGTTGTACCTCCTAATGATACCCGGATACGATACCCAGCAGCTGTTGGAGATGTCTTCATTTGAGTGCCAAGAATAGAACCTCTCCTCAGCACTCCACTCCGCTTGCAGCCCAGGAAAGTGACTCATCCGGAGGAGAGGAAACTTTGCCACCGAAGATGTCTTCATCGGGGCGCGAGGTAAGGAAGAATGCCGGGCTTAAAATAATTAAATTGTCAGTGGCAACCAAACGGGGGCAAGAGGATGGAAACGGATGGCTCTGTGTGCGTGTGTGTGTGGGTGGAAGGGGCAGGACAGCGCAGCACTCATTAGATGTCTATGGGCGAACCCTTTGCCCCATCACCGCCCAACCGCCCAACCGCCCACCCGCCGACATACACGGGTTTTTCGGGGGCGCCATCAAAATAAATGCCTGTCATTAAACAAATTGTCGCAATAAATCTGCGCATTTCAAAGTCAGTGGAAAGTAAAAGGAGCCACAGAAACAAAGAAGCCAAAAAAAAAACAAGACAAAAACCAAAAAACAACAAGGAGAAAAGAAAAATTGTGGGGGGTAGAAACACATTTCCTTTTAGTCCTAGATGTGGTGGGAGTGGATGGGGGAAGGGGAGTCGGAGCCTGCCGTGGGAATGGTGTGGGTTGTGTGATCATTAGCGCTGTTCAAAGTCAGCCTTCTTATCCATCCTCCCACCAACCACTTCTTCTCCTTGACTTATAATCCACAGAGGAAAAGGAAAGAGACAGGGACAGAGAGAAAGAGAGACATTAGATATATATATGGAATAAATAAATTGGGAAAGATGGAAAAACCTTTTCGTTTCTGCGGTCTTTTTCTAATCACAATAAATAAACAAAAGTCAATCAGACAGCAAAAGCAATTAGAAAATGGTATCCAAGTTAATTAAGCGCCATAAAAACGACATTTTTCCCTATTCCCTGTCCCCAACCCCCCGCAAATCGTACCCTCTCCCCAGCTCCTGCGCCTGCTGCTGCTCCTGCTGCTGTTTTCTTGTTCTGCTTAAGTGGAATGTTGTCTCAATCTCAATAGATAGAAATCAACGTTGGTTTGGGCATAAAAAAAAAGGGAGAAGCCGAGCATAAATTAAAATACATAAAGGAAAGGCTAAAAAACAAGGCCGGCAGAGGGAGATAGAGAGAGTGAGCACGGAGAGATGGAGATGGGGAAAGCCCCAAAAGCAAGGCAAACACATCAAGGAGAAGCTGAGGCAGAAGCTGAGGCAGAGCCCTGGCGATAAGATGGTATTACAATAAAAAAAAAAGCAGGACAAAGAAAGCAGAGGGACAAAAAGTTGGGAAGATGGGAAAAAAGAGGAGTCAGACCTTACGACAAGGGAATGACCAGTTTTCAGATGAACAAAGAACTCTTTCAGAATAAGGGAGAGAACTACAAGCATGGGAGTCCCTGGAATCGTCTCAGTCTCAGATGGATAGATCGACATAGATCGATCCCAACTGGTGATCCTTTGCAAGTCCTTTGCACGAATACCTGAACGAGTATACCCTGCCCATGTGCATGTACGGAGTATAATAAGTTGCCAGGACATAAAGCAAAACCAAGAAGGACAACGAGCAGCGACAACTCTCAAGGCGGTCGGACCATCATTGAAGTTCACTTGCTCCAAGGACAGGGGACTGGGGACAGTAGCTGGGGCAAGTTGGCAACAAATTTATGAGCAAATTAATTGAGATTGGAAACGCAAGAAGGAAAAGCCAGCAGTAGCAAAACCAGAAGCAGAGGCAAGAGAAGAAAAAAACACCGCAGTAACAACGAGCAGGAAAAGGACACGGCTACTCCCCTCCGCTCCCTTTGTATGTGTGGGTCTTGTTAGTGTGCGGTCGGTGGGTGTTTCTAACTTAATTGAGAGACAAGTCAATAAACAGGAAGCGAGTGCCGAGCTAAAAGTCAAAGCAACCAAACAGCACACAAGAAAAGAAAAAAAACTGAACCGAACCGAACCGAACCGAACCGAATAGAACAACAAGAGAATGCCCAGCGAAAGAATACCAAAAAGAAGGTATACCATTCTATACCATCTATATGTATATGTATATGTGTTTGTGTATCTGTGTGGAATGAGATATGTATGCTCCATCCATTACCAACGACACAAAGAATGAGCTACACTCGGTTATTGGCCATTGAGGCACAGCTGAATATGCAAATGTCTGTAGTGTGTATTGAAGTCGTTCATTGTATGGCAACAACTTGCTGATTGCTGAATATAATTGAGAGCAGTTCTTCGACTCGGACTTTGACTTCTTGGAATGAATATTTTTGTATTGGGGGCTTGTCACTGCCAAAGGCAGCCGCAGGGGCAGGACGTTTTTTTTTTATGTTTTCTGAAATAAAGTCATGCATAATTTAATGGTTGTTTTTTGGGAGCTAGTTTTGGTTGGCTCTGAAATGGGAGAAAACTCGTATTTCGATAACGATCAATCATAAAGCATTTAACCTCTTTTCCATCGATATTTCGCAGAGGAATCTTTCGTTTTGTCCTCCATCCCATATTAAAATATGAAGAATTCTTTATGTTATTTCTCAGAACATTTCCTGGTCATTATTATATTCTTTTATCTATATTTTCCCTTAACATAAATTTCACTTTTTCACTTTTCTTAAAATTCTATTATTTTGTGATCGTTTTCCGAAGAATTTTCGTATTAGCCTTCTCTTTTCTTTGCTGTATTCCTTTTTTTCTCGCCTCTTGCTGGTCCATTCCTGCCATTCTTTCATTCATAGGAACTTCCTTCCTTCAGTCTCCTTCCACAATCGATTGCATGGCATCGACCGGAACCTTATCCTAGTAGAACCAACTTGAGAACTGGCTTACACCATGCCGCCCATTACTCTGAGCCATGTCCAGGGCTGGCCGCTTTTTGAGGCGCGTCGCGATGTCCACATAAAAAATAACACTAACAGAAACGACAGGCAGCTGGAGAGGGTTGGGGAGAGCGTTGGGGAGAGGGAGAGGGAGAGGCAATGAACAAATAAAGCCATAAATCTTTGCCACTAAAGTAATGCCCCGCCACTCGCGAATGTTGGCCATAGGGGTGAGAGAGGGGGAGAGGGAGGGGCATGGGCTAGGGCCAGGAGAGGGGCTTGGTCTTGGCCAAGGATGCGATGCTTGGCCCTGATCGCTGCTGCAAACAAAACAAATCCCGTTGTCTACATAACTGGGAGCCAGTGCCAGTGCCAGTGCCAGTGCCGCATGCATGGGACAAATGTTTGCCTGCCTCCTATTTCCAGCATCCCCAAGCCCCCTCATCGAGCTCCTCTGAGCCCCCCCCCCCCCCCGCCCAACGTTCATCCTTTAGTGAGTCCTCTTTGTCCTAGTCTTTCTACTGGTTCTCGTTGTCGTCCTGGTCTTCATCTTCAACTTCAGCTGCTTCTTTGCTCTGTTGCAGTTTGTGGTGTTGCTTGTTTGCCTGCTTGCCGCATTCCGACTGCCGCCTCCACTTGATCCATTATCCTTCCAGCCAGGACGAGCAGCGTGGCTATAGGGGGGTGCAGGGGTGGGAATCAGTGGCAGCTCCTGTTCTGCTCTGTTCCGTTGCTGTCATTAAAATTCAAGGCATACAAAGTCATTAAATTATACGCGACATCTTTTGTATAGATGTGTTTTTGTTTGTGTGTCGTGTCTCTCACTCTGTGGGCGGATGGGGTTAGGCACGGGCGTTGGGCATGGCTAAAAGTGTTAGAGAGAGAGAGAGAGAGAGAGACCTGCCACGCCTCCCTCTATCTCTCTCACTCACTGGCAAATGGCATGGAGCTGATTTCACCAACGACAACGACGTCGCATCGTGATGCGATTAAGCAATCAACCAAATTGCCAGCCCAACACCAAACTTGAAAGGAAATTACACGTTCCACGGTGGGGTGGGGATGAGGGGCTCTGGATAAGCGGAAGGGGTACAGGGCGACAGGGCGACAGGGAAAGTTGTATGTTTGTGTCTACTGCCACTACGTGGCACAGATAGAAGATATCACTGGCTCTGTAGAGCGAACTCCGGCTTAGGGACGGGCACTCATTGCTTAAACAAGCAAACAACAAAGTCAATTCGAACAAAAGGACCAAGACAGATAGAGAGCGCTAGAGAGTGGGGGTGAGAGAGAGTGAAAAATGTGGGGCAAAGGGCAGAACATCTCCCCCGGGGGGTTGGTTAGGGGGCTCCTTCAATAAAACTAAGTGGGTACAAATTTGTGATTATGCGCCACCAGGGTGCGGGGGGAAATGAGTTGATTTTTAAATTGAAATTTTCTTATTTCGAGCATTGACCAACACGGAAGTGACTGTGCAACACTTGAGCGAATTATCCAACACTTAATTAGAGAATCTAACTGAGACTGCCATCAAGGGAAGCTCGGAGAAAACAGTAAAGACGCTCCTTGGCAAGTCAACAGTTAAGTGCAAGCATGGCTATGGCACTTTTAATGTCTTTACCAACACTAAAGTATTTAAAACTTCAGCATTAAAGCATCAGCAACCTCACAACACTTAAGATAAGCACTAACCAACTTGAGTGCTTAGAATTTATGCTAGGGTAAAGGTCCTAGGACTGCTGGCAGCCTCAATGAAGTTCCAGCATTAATTTAAAGATAACTTTTCATCGCTCAACACTTAGCCAACACTGTAGTCAAAGACTATTAAGAGCATAGCTGTTAACCAACACTTGAGCGGCCACCGAAACTCCCATAGCATACCCCTAAGACTGAAGCAGTCTTGATTTAAGTGCTACCATCTACCCCTACCATCGCACCATCCCATCAGCA